ATATAATTTGCTATTAAAATATTTGTATATTATATTAATATTAGTTATTTTTTTATATATAAAAAAAATTGTTAATTTGGTCGTTCTCTATATGTAATTATATATTTTATTTTTAAAAAAAAATATTTGTTATACACAAGTATAAATATTTTCTAATTTGGTCAAATCAGAATAATACTGATTTGATCTAATCATCACGGAAACTAGAACATTGTAATTTATATAAAAGTTAATTATATTTTTTTATTAATGTTTTTTTTTTTACTATAATATAAAACAAATATTTTTAAGTAAAAAAAACTAAACTGATATTCTCAAGTAGGATGAAGGGCTAATATATAGTGTGAATATATATTATATTTTTGGTAATATCAATTGAAATATATATATATATATGTATATTTGTCGAATAAACACGTGTATTTGTATGTGGATTTGGATTTTTCAATAATAAAATATTAAATTTGATGTGATATAAATATATGTTAATGTAAAATAAATTTGTAAAATTTATATAAAAAAATAATTGTATGGTTGTTTCTTTTGTAAAAATCTTCTACAATATTTTTTACAGAAAAATTAATATATCACATACACTTATTATTTTTATATTATTTACACAACTCTTTATACCTCACATAAATATTTTTTTTTTCTTTAAACCAAAACACAGAACAAACATTTGTTGATGGGGAGAAAGAACATCTCATCCCACATCTATTTGATTAATTATATTAATCAAATATAACATATATAATATTTTGTATTTTGTATTAAATAAAATAATAAATTGTTGATGTGGAAGAATGAAAAATTTAAAAAGAAAAATTATTTTGAATTTTATAATGTGAGAAAAGAACCATATAGTGGTTGATAAGTTCATAAGCTCATGTCACATTAGTGGTAGAGAAAAAAAAATCATAACAAATTTTGCATTGAAAATGATTTAACATCTCAATAATGTAATACTCCCTCCGATATAGAAATGTGTGTTCATTTGATCCGGCACGAATTTTAATAAAAATGAGTAATAACAGTTACTTTTTCATTTTATAGTAAAAAAAATATATAAAAATATAATAATTTTTTACTTAAAAAATAAACGAGAATATTTTTGAATGACAACTCAAAAAAAAAGTGAACATAGATTTGAATGACCGATAAAGTATTATGTATGTATATGTATTACTCATTAAATGCCCATTTAATATCCAAATGAAGTAAGAATATCATGCAATTATTTCATTTAATCTATAGTTACTAGGGTTGTTCAAAATAAATACCATTTAATAACATATATTATTAACCCAAATGATATAGAAAAAATCGAAAATTGGTCTCAATATAATAAAAAATTTATCAATTTGGGTCTCAATATAAAGAAATACGTCAATTTTAGTCTAATTATAAATAATTTTTAATTAATTTTGGTCTCAAATTAAAAATCTAACGAAATTGCTTGTGGACTTAACTGACTCTGACGTGGCAACTGATTGGACCAAACACAGCCTATTTTGATCAACAGAGCCGTGTATGCGTAATCTGAGCAATAGGCTGAACAAATAAACACGGCTGTATTAAAACATATACGCTCGTGTTGAGGATAATTGTGGGAAGACATCGGCTAAATTAATTTTTTTTTTTTTAGAATAACGTTAAGGCCAAACAAAACAAGAGAAGTATTTGTTTGTTCAACGGTAACAAAAAAAAAAAAGCAAGAGAGAGAGCAAGAGCAGCCGGAGTAGAAGACATCACGACGGCCGTTGAAATTTTCCTTATCAAACATGGCGATGGATACAAAAAAAAAAATGGTAAACTTTTCTTCCACCATCAATCAACACCGACGTGTATGTTTTTGACATGACCGCGTTTATTTGCTCAGTCTATTGTTCAGATTCCACATACACGGCCATCTTGATCAAAATAAGACCGTGTTAGGTTCAGTCAGCTACCAAGTTATAGTCCGTTGAGTCTACATACGTAATTCTGTTCGATTTTTAAACTTGTGACGAAAATTGATTAAAATTATTTATAATAAGACTAGAATTGATGAATTTTTTTTATATTATGACCAAAATTAGTAATTTTTTATTATATTGGAATGAATTTTAATTTTTTCCTAATAATATAAATCAATCAAAATACATTTTAACGATAATTAAAATTTAAAAAAATGAGAATATAAATTGAAAATGATGCTCAAATAATAATAAAGTATAAATAAAATTTTAATTTGAATATAAATTTTAATTAGAATATTTTATAATAAAAAAGTATAAATAAAATTAAATATATTCAATTTATATATATATATTATACATATATATAATTTTTTCGTCCCACATACAATATACATATTTTTTTTTATTTCGGTCCTATATAATTTGTCATCCCATTTTTTTAAATATAATTATATATTTTAATAGTATTTTACTTTTATAATTTATAATTATTTTAATTTTAATTAAATAATTTAGTTATAAGGAAAAAATTAATTTTAGTCTTAATATAACTAAAATTTATCAATTTTGGTCCCAATATAAAAAACTCATCAATTTTGGTCCTAATATAACCAAAATTTATCAATTTTGGTCCCAATATAAAAAACTCATCAATTTTGGTCCTAATATAACCAAAATTTATCAATTTTGGTCCCAATATAAAAAACTCATCAATTTTAGTCTCAATATAAAAAATTTCAATGAATTTTGGCCTCATTATAAAAATTTTTAATCAATTTTGGTCCCACCTTTAAAAACCTAACGGAAATTGCTGACGTGGACATGACGGAGGTGACGTAGCAGTTGACCTGAAAAGTATACGGCCATGTACAATTATACACGACCATGTTGTTACATGGCCATGTATATTTCAGTGTATAATTATACATGGTCATGTTATACACGGTCATGTACAATTATACACGACCATGTTGTTAGAGGGTCACGTATATTTCAGTGTATAATTATACATGGTCATGTTGTTACACGGCCATGTACAATTAATTATACACGGCCATATTGTTACATGACAATGTATATTTCAGTGTATAATTATACATAACCATGTTCTTACACGGCCATATATAATTCTGCACGGCCGTGTACCTTTCTTTTTAGTCTAAAATTTTAATTTTTTGTTATATTTTTTAATTTTGTTTTTGAATTTAGAATAATTGATATAGTTAAAATGAAAAAAAAATCAATAATAATCATAATATAATTAAAATATATCAATTTTAGTTCAAATATAAGTATTTATTGAGTATGTTCTTTTGGAAAATTTTGTCTAAAATTCGCAAAAAGATTTTTCTTACAAACATCCAATTAATGTATTGAAATAATAAATTAATTTTTAATACTATTATAATATACAAAATTTAAAAATAGTTGTTTAATTAGATGTTTGTAAAAGAAATTTTTTGTATGAATAATAAAATTTTAGACAACATTTCAAAAGAATATATCTTATAAATTTTATATTTGAATTAAAATTGATAAATTTTAATTATATTATAATTATTATTGATTTTGTCTATTTTAACTATATATCAACGGTTATAAATTCAAAAAATATATATATTTTAAAAAAAATATAACAAAAAAATAAAATTTTAAACTAAAATAGAAATATACATGGCCGTGTATTTATACATGATTTTTAAAAAATATATATAACAAAAAAATAAAATTTTAAACTAAAATAGAAATATACATGGCCGTGTATAATTGTACACGGTCATGTTGTTAATTATACACTGAAATATACATGGCCATATAACAACATGGTCGTTTACAATTGTACATGGCCGTGTATTTTCCAGGTCAACTGTCACTTCACCTCCGTCATGTTCACGTCAGGAATTTCCGTTAGGTTTATAACGGTTGGACCAAAATTGATTAAAATTGTTTATAATAAGACCAAAATTGATTGCAATTGTTTATATTGAGACTAAAATTGATGAATTTTTTATATTGGGACCAAAATTGATAAATTTTAGTTATATTGGAACAAAAATTGACTTTTTTCCTTAGTTATATTAATCTTAACTTATAATTATTTTTATTATATGATAATTATTTTGCTAATATATTTCTTAATTATTTACTAATAATATTTTACTTAAATTCTCGTACCTTCAATTATGTGGTCATTTTATCGAGGACAAAAGACAATACTCTCTCTGTCCTTTAACAATTTATCAATTTTTCCATTTAGATCCGTTTCATAACAAAATATTCATTTTTTTTTTTTTTTAATAATTTTACTATCTACCTAACATTACAAATATCCTTCCAATTTACAATATATTATACAAATGTCATTATTTTTATATCATGCAATACTAATAGAGTTAATTTAGTCTTTGTACCTTTATTTCTATTTTATCATAATATAATACTAATATTTCTAAAACTCCCTGCAAAAAACAAATAAATATATAAATACGAGACGAAAGGAGTATAAAATTTGAGTCGAGCTCAAATGAACTAAAGCTCAAGTTCGAACTTGAATTTAAGTCTAGCAAACAAAGCTTGAGCTACAATAATAACTCAAAATCTTAACAAATCTAACCATTATTATATTTCTAACAAGTTCGAGCCGAGACCGAACTATAGATACTTTGTTCTGAAACTCGCTCGTTTACCAGCTCTACCAATAATGTTATCCAATTTCCATGGATTCTATTAAAATCATGGTTTATGCAGTATCCAAGTATTTGTTGATTAACTAATTACTCTATTTCGTTTGTCTAAATAATTACAACTTCAATAAAGATGTAGTACCATCACGAAACATTATATTAAACCACAATTACACAAGCTCAAACCAAAATCTCATCGTATATCCATGCAAGAATTCCAAAGAACACGTATTAATGCAGAGATGAAATCTAAATTAACAAGTAAAAGCTAATTAATATATATATATGAACACTTAGGGTATGTTTCTTTATATGGGTTTGAAAAAAAAAAAAAATTGATTTGAATTTGATATTAAAATAATATATAATAGAATGTTTTGAGATGAAAAAATATATTTTTTTCAAAAAATGTATGTTTACTTGTCAGGTTTTACACCTGATTTTACTATTACAACTTTTTTTTTCCCCTAAAAAAATATCACATCAACACATATTTATATCACATCAAATAACCATTTCAATTCAAAATCAAAACCCAAAACTGAATCTCAGAGCTAAACACACTATAGTTTTTTTGGACAAAAGAAACATACCCTTAAGCTTCTTGTTCTTGCTATGTCTCTCTATATATATATCCCAAGTTACTTGCAAATGTGTAGCTGTAGCACAATGAAATGGATACAATTAAACATACATACATACAGATATGGTGATATAAATACATAAACAATATACCTAAATAATAAGAGAATTACTGAAAAGGAAAGTCACCCTCTTTTTACCCTTTTGGCAAAATGATGATGATGATGATCTATATAGATATATATATATATTCTGTCCTGCAATGCATAGAGCCAAGAGCTAGCTAGCTAGCTGCTGCAGCCATGGCTGAGGACAAAAAGGGTTAGCAATGGCAATGCCCAAATCCAAACCCGAAAGAATTTTCAAGGAACTGTTTCTGTTGGGCAACAGTTGTCATCAAAACATGTCTGGTCTGGTAATCAATTATCAAAAATCTAATTTTCGATTTTCACCTCAATTTATTCCGTTGCCGTAATCTGATCCGGCGAGCATTCCGACGACTCCCGAGGCGGCGGCGGCGGTGGCGTAGATTTCAGATGGATTATTGAGTATTGGTGGTGTTGACGAAGATCCATGGTTTCTGGCGCCCCCTAATTGCAGGTCGGACATGTCTGGAAACCCTTGGGATCTTCCTTCTTCTTCAAACCCTTGATCGTATAAGAAGCCTTTGAAGATATGGCCGCCGATTCGGACCGCCGCCTGGTAAGCGTACTCGTCGTCGCCGTCGTGGAGAGCCGTCACTTTCACGCAATTGAACACCGCCGGCGCGCGGACTTGCTGGGGAAGCTGTGTGTCTTTGAAGCTTATGATTTCTGTGGAGATTTGCAGAAAATTTAGATATCGGAAATGGTGGATAATTGGTTAGTTTATTGGCGGTTACCTTGATGGCTGGAAGTTGTGTCGAAGCTTCTAGGCGGAGTGGCGGTGGTGGAGGTAGAAGTATTATGGGAGGCGGCAGCAGCACCGGCGAGCTTGGGTTTTTTGGCGCCGGAAGTGGACTGTGACGAGCCGGTGATAAGCTGGCGCTCGCGGCGCCGGGCGGCGGGAACCCACGTGCTTTTCACGTGCGTGGAGCAGTCGTAGCCGCGGCTTTTGCAGCACGTTCGGCATCGCCGGTGGGGGCAATCTTTCTTCGCTTGGTTGCCGCAATCCTGACACGTGGCGGCTCCGATCACGGACGAAGACGACGAAGACGGTCCTCCGATTCCGATGCTTCCGCCGCCGCCGCCGATTGCGGCGTTCCGAAGGAGATTCGTGTGATCGGCGATGGTAGGTTTTTTACCAGAATTCTCTACCTGCTGATGCTGCCACAGCTGCATGCCGCCGCCGCGATTTCGCAGGTCTTCATCTGCTCCGGCGCCGATGGTCGGCGCGGTGGCGAGGAGAGGAATCACGCCAACGCCGACGCCGACGCCGATGGTATTCGACGCGTTCAACGAATGCGGATCGAAATTAATCGCCGCCGCGGCTTCCGCCGGATGATGGTGCTGGAAAGACGACGCCGGCGCCACGAAGAAAAACTCCGGCGGCAATCCGCAGTTAACGTGCCTCGTGGGAGCCGCAGCATTAGGCCACATTCCGCCAACAGCCTGGCCATTATTGGCGGCGGCGGCTCCAGCATTGAACCCTAACGACAGGTCTCCGGCGGAGGAGGAGGAAGACGACGCCGCGACCCAATCGGCGAAGCCGCCGGAATCGGAAAGCAACCTTCTTGTAGTAGCCACAACTGCCTGCCGATTCAACTACTACTCCTTCTCCGATCGATCAAATTAATTAATTCCCAAAACAAGAACAAGAAGAAATTAAACAATCCCCAAAATTCCAAAACTGATTGTACGTCTCAATCCATCCCCAGAACAAACACAGCCCAAATCTCGAAGAACATCCAAGAGATAGATAGTCGTTGTTGTTAAGTGAGGCAAATCCAAAAATCCAGAAGCCAAAAGGTGGGACCTCTGAAATTGTTCATTAGAGCAGAAGAATATGAAGATTGAGAGGAGAGAGAGGGGGGTGAAGATCTTTGGAAGCAGCAGCAGCAGCAATTACTGCAGCTAGCTGCGATTGATCTGATCTCTCTCTACTTTTTTTTATTTTTTTCTGCAGAGGGAGGCACAAAATGTTTCTGGTAAATTACTGCAACTGTGGCTGGGGCTTTTTTGATGAAAAAAGTTGTTCTGAGAGAGGGACTGGAGAGCCTCCTCCCATGGCAGGCAGTAATCGCTCAGAACTGTAGGCAGAGGAACCGCAGGGAAGATAAGAAGTAGAAGGAGATGGACTGAATATAGCTGCAAACAGCAAAAATAGAAACCCTTAATTGTTGAAGAAGAAGAAGAAGAAGGAGGAGAAGAAGAAGGGCATGCAGATGCAGTGGGTGGTGGGGTGGGCCTAAGACACACCGAATTTTCTTACAAGCATGATCGATGGATGGATGAGAGTGGTTTGTGTTTGTTTGTTTGTTGGATCGGATATTAATTTGTTCGAAGGGCGGGGTGGGGTGGGGTGGGGGATTGAGGGGAGGTGGGTCGTTTGTCTTCCTCCAGCTTGTCTCACACAGAGTCACAGATTTGCGAGTGATTATTGGAGAGAGAATAAATTTACAGAAAGCAAAAGTGGGAGTGAGAAAGGGAAAGAGAAAGAGAAGGGAAACACTTTTTGATGTGTAGGTTTTTGGGACATTTTCAGAAGCCCTAACCTCACATTCTAGCTCAAATCACATGCTCTTATTATTATTACTATTATTATTATTTTGTTAAATTAGAATAAATTTTATTTTTATACGATATTACAAATTCATTTTAGGGAAAGTTTGATTGAAATTTATGTCAGATAAATTCAATTAAAATTCGGTCTCTGTTAAAATAAATTAGACTGTATTTTCTATTTTATGAATTATGTATATAATAACTTTTTAATTTGTATTTTCTTCTCAATCATTATTGTATACGCAACAAGCACTCGAAATAGGTTGATCAATACTTATAATGTTATAATATACACATTACTTTTCGTTTTACCCTCGTTATAACCTTATATACTTTTAGTTAAATATCTCTTACGTTTTTTCGCGAATTAAAAAAATAAATAAATAATTACCGACTATTTAACCAGGGTTCAGGCAAAAAATCTCTTATAACTCCCTCATCTCAATTTAAAACCCTATCTCTCTCTTCTTTAGATGAACCGACGCTCTCTAACCCTTGGCAATTAAGTAACGACCGATTAGTGCAAAATTTTTGAAAAAAACAATTGACCGCTTCCATCCCCGGGACAAGCTTGAAGAAGTAAGTTCCTGGTTGGACATTTTTCAATTTTTTATTTTATTGACATTAGTATTTTATATTGTGTTTGTTCGATTATTTGGGGTGTAAGCTTTGGTTTCGTGTTTGTATATCTTGGTTAAGTGTTGAGAAGTCCTGGGTGATTGGTGTAGTTGTGATTGTTAATTGTTCGTATGTTTGCCCATGTAGACCAGGTTCGGTTTTTGATTTTGGCGCCGATTTTGAGTGATTTTATTTTTTTTACCTATATTTTTTGTTAATTTTATAGATGTACATTTTGTTTAGTTACCCGGTGTTGCATATTTTATTTTTTATATTTGATTGTTCGGTAATTAGTCATGGTTGTGGGTTAGAAAATGTGGTATTGTTAAGTACCCCGAGTTGCAGTTTTTAGGTCTAATTTGCTAAATAAACTCAAGATTTGAATAATATGGACTGATGGTATTTATTTATAGACCGTAGGTCGGGTTTTGCTTATTTTGCAATTCACTACGCGAATTGTTCAGGCAAGGAAACACGGAGAAATTGGTAAGTTTATAAAATAAATATAATTAATTTACTTACGTAACAAAATATTGTATTATTTTTAAAGTGATTTTATGCTTGTACCTAAATGCAGTACACCTATGGCCCATGGTGAGGGAAACGCCCGAGTACGTTTAATGTCGGTATCAGGGTGATAATCTCGATTGTAGTCGTTTGGTCAGCATGCTCGTCAAGTGTTATGCCCACGCGAATCCGGCAGTCCATCCCATTGGTGGTATCGGCGGTGAGTTTGATAATGTGAAGAGCTACCGCAATAAAATTGCGGTCAAAATAATAAAAGGCATGCCCTCAAAATTGTAGACTCCGATGAGCAGCACAGGGTAAGTAAACGTCTGTAATGAATTTGGATTGATTTGAGTTGTGTTATTTGTACTTGATTTGGGTAATATTTTATTTTCGGATTGAATTATTGGTTAAATTGGTTTGATCTGGCTCATATTTGATGGGATTGTATTAAGATTAATTGAGGGATTGAATCGTGAGTTTAATTTGGTGAAAGCTAATGTTCGAAGTAATGCTATGAATTGTACCGTAAATGATTATATGATTAATTATTCATATTGTTAGAATTACAATAATGCACATGTTGCACCTTCATAACAGATCGATGTACCCGTCTAACTAGATCAAAATACCTTCAAACTACATATATATGCTCATAAACATGTTACCCATTAGTTAGGAAGGTTATCCTTGTACGAAGACAATAACGAGCCATAAAAGATATGCATATTGCTCTTAAATTAGAACTAACTAATTAATTACGAGAATTCGCAATGGTTGAAGTAATGTCTACAATGAACAAAAAAGCGTTTAGGAATACTAGAGTACGTTAGTAGTGCACTAAGAAAGAAAAATATATACATGTACCGTGAAGGTTTATGCCCTCCCAGTTGCTGCTATTTCTCTCAACCATCAATAAAGTGAAGAAGTGCTAATAGAAAAAATATTTTCACCGAGTTCCTTAATTGTCTCATTCGTCAAGAGATTGACTGAAGTATACCTTGATTGTCAATGCTCGTACCATAATACATTTTTATATACCTTCCTTAAATATCAATTACCCCGGAGTAGTTTTTACGTACCTATAATACGATCTCATATGCTCCGATAACGAGTATCTATGCCCTGGTAACTTGTACTTGGAAACGGATCATTCTCAATTCAAAATATTCAATTATTGTCGGTAACCATAGATGAATTCATCATTATAGCGTTCTCGAGAATCTTAGAACTATATGTAAAAGTAAACAACACATATTTACTATGGATAAATAAGACAGAAAAGACTTAGTTAAATTATGGTGGTTGTTATTCATACATGCATCGTGGTCATTCTATTGAAGAATATGACATGAGTTATTTAATATAAATGTACCATGCCCAAACTTTTCCATCGGAGCTGGGAGATGAAGTACTCTCATCGAGTTTGTGGTAGAGCACATAATTATATACTTACATCAAATACATACATACCATTGCGCATATCTTATATACCTATATCCAGGTGCCATATGTTTCAGTAACGAATATATATGTCTTGGTTATTTGTGCTTGGAGAATCAATCATTTTTAGTTTGAAATATTCATTTGTTGTCAGTAACCATGGATGAATTCATTATGATAGTGTTCCCACAACACCATGAATTGTATGAAAAGATAAATTACGCATATTTACTATAAATGGATAAATAAGTCACAAATGACTTGTATGATATATGTACACTTATAGTCCAACCTCCACTTGTAGATGTCTAAAACAAGTCATAAATGACTAAATTAAATTATGTTGGGTTGTTAGAGTATATGATTGCCGCCACAAATTGAAAATATTTTGACCTATTACGTAGTATTCCACATTGTCGCACACACAACAATATAGGTCAGGAGCATATTTGCACATGACATGACTTGGTTAAGCAGACGAGTACTCCAAAGTGGCTCCGACGTACCCCTAATTTAGCTTGGTATACAAAATCATATTAATTGTGTACCTATTGCATCTTTTATGTAACAACTTAACTAAATTCAAAGATATCTACTTTCTTACGGATAATATCTTTTTGAATGTATACATACTCCTAAAACTAGTGTTATCTCGATAACTTTATATGAGAACAAAGATTCATAATCCTCTCCATATAAAACTGAATTTGTTCGATTAACTGAAAATTCCGTTTGATTTAGTAGTTAGATGGTTCGGTTCAATTATTTTGCCCACCCCTATGACACCATTCTTTTTTCTTTTTTTTTTTTTATCAATTTTTAATAAGTATTTTACAATACTCTTATTTTACTTAGTACCTACATTACTTTTATATAAACATATTATTACTTCTTTATTTTTGTGCTCTAGCAAAAGTGCATAATTATCCAGGACGGAGAGAATATTTAATAAATCTAATGTGTAGAAAATTTATAATTTTAATATTAAATTAATTTAAAAAATTAAAGTAAATTTTTAATACGAATAGCGTTACATAATTATGGTCTTGCCATTAAAAAGTATGTCATGAGTTTTTTAATGTAAACATATTTTGCATAAACATTTGCAATGGGGCTAATAGAGAAAATCACCAATCTGTTAATTATTCTCCGTCAGGGAATTGACTGGAATCGACCACACTCAAGGATACTTGCTATTACACAGATAATACATAAGCAATCATCATTTATACTTTGAATGTCGGTGTTTGAAGTAAATTTTCGTGAATATTTAAAGTAATGACTTATGTAATGAAAATATCAAAGATATTTTAATTCCGTTTCTTTTGACAATTTTATCACAAAAAAAATGTTACGTAATTTTTCCATGACTATTTTAAATTGAAGAAAAAATAACAAAAAAAAAAAAACTTGCAACGTTTAAAATTAATATAGATATTGTCATGATATGTTTTCCTTTACTTTTAAAAGTTAAAAGGTCACAACATAAGTAACAAAAATAATCATAATTTTTTCTCGTTCGTAGCTATTTAAAATAATAATAAAATAATAAAATAATCTTTAATATATTTTATCTTTTTACTTGTATTGTAGTTAAATATTTTTTTAAGTATTAATGACTATTTAAAATTATGACATAAGTATCGAAATATTATCACATCTTAATTCTATTTTATTTTTATAAAAATTGTAACTATTTATGGTTATATTATAAATAATTTTATTTTATTTAATTAATATATATTAATTTAATTTATTGCAAATATTAACATAACCAAATATTGGGTAAACTGTTTTTTTAGTCCCGTAACTGGACCCCTTTATCATTTTAGTCCCGTAAGTGGAGCCTGTCGCAAACTAGTCCCATAAGTGAAAATTTTTTGCTGTTTTAGTCCTCCAGCGCCGGAGACACCCGCGTGGCTCACCGGAGGTGACGTGTCCACCAGGTCAGCGACACCTGGCGCTGACCCGGCGGACACGTGGATTTTTTTTATTTTATTTTTTATTTTTTTAAATTTTTTTAAAAATTATTTTTAATTTATATTAAATTTTATTTATATATTTTTAATTTTTTAATTTGATTTACTTTAAAAAATAAAAAAAAAATTGAAAAAAAAATAAATCTACGTGTCCGCCAAGGTGTCGCTGACCTGACGGGA